CCCTTCTGCGTTGGCGGACGTAGGCCGCCCTTCAAAAAAGTAACTCTCTTCCAAGAACGTAAATCTATATATAATCTGTAAATATGCTTTATATTTATACTCTCCCCTAGAACCAAGGAATTATTTAATAATCTCCCTCCTTTTTTTAGTCAGGTTCCGCCCATGAACCAATGACTACAGATTACGCGCCATCGGTATAGTTGTAATCAACTTTCAGAAAAAGTTTTAGTAGCGTTTTTGATGTTTTTCTTTTTATTTACATCGTCTTATATCGCTTCGGGTGGCTTTTTTTTAGCAATTTAATGGCCCGTAGTCATAGAGAAGTTAGAAAAAGGTTTTAATGATTAAAATTGTGTTTTATTGTAATCACCATTTTAACTCTTTCATAGTCAACTTACAATGCATTTTATGGCAAAAACAGAGTTTTAACTTTAAAATTAGGAGACGCGGTTTTAAAATGGTAAAATAAGGTTCCAAGTTTTGTTTTGTTGTTGAAGTAGTAAACGCAATAGCACCCAGGTTTGGTCCCCACTTCGAGCGATTCCAAAAATTTTTTTTTTTTTTTACCATAAACATTATTTTATTTTATTAAATTTTGTTTTATTATCTTTTTTTTGTTTATGGTAATTCATAATTATTTCGTTATTAATACAATTTTTTGGAGTTTAATTTTAATTAAACAGGCCAGAACAACTATAATTAAATAACAGAAATTTTAATAATATTTAAAAGAACAAAAAAAGATGTAAAAAAGTTCCTTGGCAGTGGGACTCGAACCCACGTTTTCCCGGCTTGCTAAATCCACCATCCTACAAGCGGACACAGGGTGAACTAATTAAAGTACTCATATTTCTATATATTGCCGGGTAAATTTTTTTTCTTCATATGGATAGCACTGTTCTCTCTCATCTTAACAAAAAGCTGTTTCTAAGATGTCTATGGTTAACACAACTTAAAACTCTATTCTAAACTTAAAACTGTATTTTAACCAGAATGAGTTTTAACTTGCGACTATGACTATGGGCACTTAATCACCGTGCCTTTTTCGATTTCCTAGTTTGTTTCCATTCTTAGGCAGATGTTAAAAACGCTCAGAAATTTACTTTCTCTTTTCCGATTGCGTGTTCTTGTAAGTTGGTTCATGGGTTCCGCCAAGAGTTTTTTTTTCGCAATGTGTCGATGCACTCTAATGTTATTATTCTGATACACGTTTACCAACACTGATTTGGTATTTATGTCAAAGAGATGACGTTTTCGCCAAGTGACAACTATACGTCTACTGTTTTGAATGGATTGACAAAAAATTAATTTGCAGTGTTTTTTCAATTTCCAGCGAGCAACAATTTGTTGAAAAAAGCTAACGTAGGCCTAAATTACTGCAGTGAACAAATTATGCCTCAAACAGAAGAATGAATGATCAACGCAGTGAGTGGCAGGAGTGTTGAAGTTTTTTAATAGATGCACCAAGAAGTAGTGTTCTTGAATAAAAGTAGAAAAATAAAATTTATAAAATCACGCTCTATATTACACAAATTTGCACACTTATAAGAGATGGCCACAACAGGAGGTTCAGGTCTCGCCTCAAATAATAGTGAGGATGATGTGGCTGCGGTTACGAAAACGAAACAGATATCAAGTGCATTGTCAGTCATGCATACGCGTTCTTGGGAGACCTGTTACTATTGTCCGTGTGAATCCTTCAAAACGTCAGCCGATTTTGTCAAGTATGTTGGGTTTATTAAACTAAATGGCTATTTAGCTTAACTTACCTTTACTCTAGGCACTTGCGAGACCGGCACTGCACACGTGAAGGCGGCTCCTTTGTCTGCCGGTATGGCTTCAACGGTGTGTGTCCTTCGCTGCCATTAGACGGCGTGTCAGATCGTGATTACGATGCACACGTTGCCAAATATCATGTGAATCAATTGACACGTGAGTTGCCACCTGAGTGGTCCGTCTTTTCAGCAGCCCAAAATTTGCCAGCAGTGCTCAACGATCCATCACGTGGCAAGCAAAGCAATCTTTTCACCAAAAAGTGGGGTGATGCTTTCGTTGAAAAAACTTATATACCACCTACGCCACGTTTGCCTGAAATCACTTATACAGATTTTGATAGATATATAGCGAAAATCGGTAAACGTTATAGGCGACATGAGCGCATGTGTGCACAACAAACACCTGCCGCAATGGCTGAGCGTGAAGCTAAAGCGCCAACGTCGCCCACACATACCGTCAGCCTTAGCGCCATTCCAGATATATTTCTAAAAGAGCAATTAAATTTGAATCATCCAGCGACATTTGCGCTTGTATTTCCCAGTATTGCTGCGTCTAGCAGCGAAGAGAATAAGCAGTCTGGACGCTTGTTACAAGAGAAGTTGTCGCATTATTTAGACATTGTGGAGGTGAAAATAGCACATCAAGTATCCCAAAAATCCGCGGCGTTTTTTCATGCGATGACATCACAAGACGCCATTATGACTGAGATGCAGGAAGCTGCTTATAATGTCCGTGAATTACGCGCTTCATTGCGTACGCTGCATCAGTCTGCTGTGGTGGATTCGTTTCGAGTGATGCGTTTTGCTCAAAGGAGGCAGAACTTTGAGGAGGCATTGGATAAGCTCAGTCTGATGGCGACAGTGCATAAGACCCAACCCATGCTGCAACTTTTGCTTGGCACTCAGGATTATGTGGCGGCGCTTGACTTGATAGGTAACTTAGATAAACAAAAAAATTTCATAAAGCAAACAATATTAATTTGTTTAATTCTCAGGTACCACACAGGAAATTTTAACACAAGAGCTGATAGGCATACACTGCTTCAAGCATCTGCCCATGCAACTCACCGAAATGGAGAAGCTCATCGATAAGATGCTCACTACCGAATTCGAGCGTTACGCTACCACTGACCTCAACAGGCCGCTAAGTGACGTGCTCAATGAAACGGAAAGTGTGTGCTCGGAAGAAGACAAATTGGTGTGTATCGTTATGGGACTTTTGAGGAAAAAGAACTTCTCATTCGTAACAGCCTATAAGGACGAAGCAATTGTAACCATACGTGCCATCATCAAGCAACTTGTTATCGAAGTTATTGCCTCCAGCGATGCAGAGCTTTGCCTTACAGGCGCCGGCGAAGAGGCGCAAAGTCTCTCCATCAGCGAGTGGATAGCGCTGTTGAAAAAAGCCACAGTAGCATTGTTGACAATTTTACAACGCATACGCGCAGTAACCGGCATAATGCGACAGACAACAGACGCTGCTGCTGGACGTTGTGGTGGCGTTGAAGGCGTCGCGCAAGATTCAGCTGTAAATCTTATAGATTCTGAAGCATTTCTAACCGCTGCTGACCATACACAAGTGACGGAGCGACTGGAAGAGTTACTGGTGACAGTGTGTAATTATTGTCACGAGCGTTGCGCGAATCTGGTGTCAACGCAGAGCTTGGAACGTGCAGTAGCTACCGTGGATGAAGTGGAGCAATTGACGGCGGTTGTAGATGAATTTAGTGCGGGTTGTGAAGAAATTTGTGGCGCACCTAGCGTACCATTGAAGGTAGGTGAAAATGCGTTTAAAGATTTCAAAATATATTTCTTACATAAAACTTGCAGGTTGCTGCCAAAGTGCAAGCTTCCCGCTTTGCCAATCGTTTTCACACTGAACGCAAGCAAAAATTGGCGCTACTACTCGACTCGGAACGTTGGCGGCAAGTAGATATACCAAATGAATTCCAAAAAATAATCGACCGCATGGGCATGCGAGATTTCCAACAGCCGGCTAGTAAATCCTTCGCCGAAAGCTTAGGCGCAACATTAAATGGCCATAGCACTACCAACAGCAGCAGCAGTAGCAACAACAGCAACAGTATTAAGTCGCAGGCCAATCCAGTTTTGCTCATCGAAGGCAAGCCATTTAGTCTGGTTAGTGCAGCATTGTTGCTTGTGCAAATGCTAAGCGACTACTGCCACTGTGCCGCGCGGTTGCCCATCATTGCCGGCTACTTGTCACGCAACATTGTCGACCTGTTGCGCACATTCAATTCGCGCTCCTGCCAGCTGGTTATTGGCGCAGGCGCAATGCGTGTGGCGGGCTTGAAAACCATTACAAGCACCAATTTAGCATTGGTCTCACGTGCTCTACAACTTGTGCTTTGGTTATTGCCGAAAATCAGGGCACATTTCGCGTCATACGACGCGAATTCAGTGTCTGGCTTTGATTCGATTGAGAAGGATTATCATAGCCATATAAAAGAAATTGAAAATAAAATTTATAGTATTGTTACAGAGCGGGTATCGATGCAGCTCGAGCAATGGGATGCGCGTCCGCCCATACCATCGCAATCATTTCGTAACATTTCTCGACATTTGGTGAAGCTGCACGAAGCGATTGCGCCCATACTGCCTGAACAGCAAATACACATTATCTATGGCATAGTGCATCGCAATTTTAAGGACAAGCTGAGAGAACAAGTCTTGAAGCTGAATATTATTAACAATGGTGGGCCGCAACATGGTGTGGTGACGTCAGAGCTGACGTTTTATATGGAAACGTTGCGTACGTTGAAAGCATTACCCCCACCGGAATTGAGCGACGACATACTGGAGAGCATATGGACGTTTTAAAAGTATGACGTTATGACGCGGGGCCGTGGTGAATCGATTTCAACTATTCAACTATTGTTATGCAAATGTTCTACGCATTGATTCACCATATTGATGATTCCTTTTTTGTTATTATGCTTTAAGAAAATTGTTTTATTATTAATTTTACGTACCTCTATATATATTTGTTTTCAATTAATGCAAGCTCATGTTTGTTGAACTGACATTGCCAATTCCCCTCAGGGGTGCAGCAATGCATTAAAACGTACATATACATTTCACGTTATTTCAAGCGACGTTAAGCAAAGAAATATATATTTTTGTAGCAGTATGTATATGCGGATGTTGGTGAGGCACAACTGCANGCGACTACTTCGCGGTGTAAGCAGTTCATACCTAACAAATAGTTTACACGTCGCTGTGGATTGCTTCCATGCTAGGCGCTGTCTTCTTGCTGTGTACTTAGTGTGTTTCCTCACGTGGGGCGAGGGGCTGGCTCCGTCGATTAAGTTATGGTTGGATTGTTTTGTTTTGTGGCAGACCCGCCGGAAGTGTTTCGAAAGAAGCATGGTTGTGCTCCCTTCCATGGAGATGTTGGTCCACTGACATAAGGAGACGCCTAGTGGCGGTAAGGAGGGCCACGTGGTGGTTACTTCTGCAATCACTACTCTCTATATCCAACCAATATTTCCGAGAGTTTTGTGAAGTCACCAATGAGGGCTCAAATAAATTTTTTATTTAATAAGTACAAGGCTTTACAAAATTACAACCATTAAATTTTTGGTTTAAGTTCCCTTTTAATTTATTCTCAAAGGTGCCTACATGTTTTAATGCTAATCCTCTGTATTTCCTCATCTCCCATCCATAGCAAACTTAAACAATCGTCTCAAATTGTCCACGTAATTGCGACTCCTTAATAAGCGCCTGCAACTCCTTGTCTTTCTGAGCGCGCATATCATCGATGATGCTCTCACGAAAGCCTGGATCCTTTGCTGGATCGTTGATTTGTGTTTTCGTTTTCCGTTTTTTACCACCAGCTTCATTAAGCTGTGGCATCTCAGCAGCCAGTAGTGAACCGATGCGTTCCACGCTCAATACACCAGCGCTGCCAATCTGATCCCAGCTATCGGTGCCAAACCAAATGGAGAGGGCATCATTGAAGTCCGTGACATGAGCGCGAAATGGATGCGAAGGACTACCAAAGCCCAAGTGGCTCATTGTGTCGCGTAGTATTTTAGCTAGCTTAGGCACTTTGGCAGAATAGAAAAGCACACTACCGCCTATTAGATGCGCCATAGAACGCAGGCAATGGCAAAGGTGTTGCTTCACCGCGGGTTCTATAAGAGTTACAAAAAAAAAGTAACGAGTGAATAAAGTTTACTCAAAACTTGCGCATTAGAAACAAACCGAAATCTTTGAACAAATCATATTTGCCACCAACTATGACCACTGGATAGGGCATCAGTTCGAGGCTTTCCACATCACTCACATTCCGCTTAATGCGCTCCGCCATGCGTTCACGATATGTTTGCTCTTGCTCGGCATTCAAAAGTTTATTGCTTGCCGCACGTAAGGTATGATAAATGTGTTCCAAATCAGGCCAGACACGCTGCGGCTGCGATAGATCTAACATTATTATGGCCGCAAAATGCTCCAGTCCATGCATGCGCAAAGGCACCGAAATCAATTGCTCGGCATTGTCTAAAGCGCCAAGCTCCCACACGTTCAATACTTGCTTCTGCGTGCCACTCGTGCGTCGTCCATAGGAATACTCCAGCGCAAGTGTGGGACGCGGATTGTCGTCGCGATCAAAGAATTTAGCCAAGGCAGTGGATTTGCCCTGTGACGATAAGGGAATATGGTTTCAAATGAATATAAGCCGGTGTTTTTTTTTAGTGTGGTAATTCTACTTACAGCGCCTTTGCTGCCCAGCACAAAAATAGTACGCTCCTTTGGTCCAATCTCCACCTGCAAAGTACGCAATTGCTCCTCGGCTAATTTAATGGCTATTTCCTGTATGGTTTCACGTTTTTCTTCCGATTGCGCGGTGTCTTGCTTCTCATACATTTTGGGGATTATGTCGCAGCGTAACAAATCGGTCAGCGAAAAGTTTGCTTTTTATTTATCGTGCGAAGTGAAATGATTAAGGCAACTCAAATTCTACTTTGTTTTACACTTGGGTCAGTTGCTAGGTGATAGCGTTGCTATGGGACGCTTTAGCGCGGTTATGGTGGTGCTTATGAGCACTGCAGTATGGGGGTTTCACCGCTATTTGGTTTCAACTATGGTTTTATGGTGAAATGTGATTCATTTACAGCCAATTTCACGAAAGCAATTTAAATTAAAAATTAATTTACTTTTTTGAATTTGATATGGAAATTGACAGAAACTAAAAAAAAAAAATATTTCCCACTTCAATTGCTGGTGAATCCGGCTCTTAGACAGAAATTTTTTGTCATGCGACTGCTAAGGCGCCCGGAGATCGGCTATCACGGACGAGGCCGAGAAAATGTTGTGGAAAGTTGTGAGCTAACTTCGGCCTTTCAACATGTTGACAACTTGTTCATGGAAATGTTACCAGTTGCACCCTTACTGCTGCTTGTTGGCGCATTCATAATGGGCCAGGGTAGAGGGTGCTCCCTTTTCTATGCAACAGAAGGGCTCTGTGCCGATGAAAGGGGCTGTTGCTCTTTTCATTGCAAGTTCATCGGCACTCTTGTTTCCTTCAAAACCAATATGTCCCGGAATCCAAAGAATCCAAACTCGATTGTTAGTACCAAAAATATTCAAATTATCAGGGCACTACATGTCGATTTTAGATGTTACCTGATAAGAGTTGGGGGCTTTAACCCTCTTAGGGCCATTAGCCTTTAATTAGAAATTAATGATTTGAGTTGTAAAATACGGTCAATCGATTTTTAAGTTAACCAATTCTTTTATAAAGAACAGTGCAGAAAATAATTGTCTCCAAAAATTTTTCATTAATTAAAAAAAAAAACTTTTTTTTTCTAACTTTCTTATTCTAAAATTTTTTCATTAATCTCATAATTTTTCCTAGAAAACAATTAACATTTTCTTTTGGTTTTTTGACTAGTTCAAAGAACAATATTTTCCTAAATATTGTTTTTCCCAATAGAAATAATTTTTTGCTTAAAAATAATTTCTTTATGTTAAGGGTAAATTTTTTTATAACTCTGCTATACATAGTTTCTCAAAAAAAAATTTTTACCTGCATTATATTTTTCGTAAAAAATTTAAAAAATTTTCCACTTNATATTTTCCTAAATATTGTTTTTCCCAATAGAAATAATTTTTTGCTTAAAAATAATTTCTTTATGTTAAAAGTAAATTTTTTTATAATTCTGCTATACATATTTTCTCAAAAAAAATTTTTACCTGCATTATATTTTTCGTAAAAAATTTAAAAAATTTTCCACTCAAATATTTTTTTCCCTAAAAAAGCACTTTGCACCCTAAAATATTTGTACTAAAAAACTTTTTTTTTTATTTTTATTTTTTTTTTAAGTTATCTTCACCTATGTACATTATTTTTTTCGTAAAAAATCTTTAACAATTTCTTCCCCAAAAATATTTTTTTTTTTTCAAAAAAACTATGTACTAACAAAAATTTTTTCNTTTTCGTAAAAAATCTTTAACAATTTCTTCCCCAAAAATATTTTTTTTTTCAAAAAACGATGTACTAAGAAATTTTTTTTTTAAATTTGTATTCCCAAAAGTAACTAAATTTTTTATTTTAAACAAATTTTTAATTTATCTAATAATTTTTTCCCAGAAAACAATAAAAAAAATTTTGCGATTTGAAGTAGTTTTTTTAATATTTATTCCCGAAAAAATTTTTTTCTGAAATAAAAAGTTTTATTGGAAAAATAATTTTGTTCTCTAAAAAATCTTTGTTTTCAATGTTTGTGTTCTGTATAATTTGAATTAACATTTTTTTCCCAAAAAAACTGTTTTTCCTTAATTATGTTTGTTGGTAAAAATTATTATTATTTTTTTTTAAATTCTTAAAAATACATTTTGTTCTAAAACATTAAAATTTTCTTTGCAAAAAAATTTCCTTATTTGATATATTAATTTTTTTCGAAATAAAAAGTTTTACTCCAAAATTAATTTTTTCCAAATAATCTTTCTTTCAGCGTTTGATAATTTTTTCATAATTTGAATAAACATTTTTTTTATAAAATTGTTTTTCCTAAATTTTCATTCTTTAGCGTAGGTTTCAGCCAGAAAAATGGGCATTTGGTTTCCCATAGGTTACGAGTATCTCAACCTCGGTCTAGCTGCATCTATCTCGATCAAGAGCCATCAGTGTACCAGGTTATCATGTTTTGGTTTATACGGTATCTTTCGGATATGCCTGCCCAGCCCTTCTTAAGTAAGTTCCAGTAAGTTAAGAAGTCGCAGGACATCCCACGCTTAGCTACTATGTTGTTTTAAAAGTGAATTTTTCATACTGTCTTTATTTTCTGCAATTGCATTCGTAAGTCATAATTTAGGACCTTAACTAAGATAAAAGAATTGGGTATTCGGTTTGCAAATTACGCAGAAATTCGATGCCTTCTCCCACAGGATTTGTCTAAAGGACAGCATTGGCACACTGCTGCGCTCCATGCACTGCGCATGTGCTGTGAGTAAATGACGTAATGAAGCCATTCTCTCAACGACAGGCTGCAATGCTTAATCGTTTTAGGGGGATACTACGCTCCAATATGGATAGGCATGCATGAACATATGTATTCACAAACTTACGTGCATACAGTGACTCGCATAAAAGAACACTTACAAAAAAAAAAAAGATGATGGCTAACATTATCACTTAAAATCGGGGACCAAAAATAACTGTTATCTCGAATTTACAAATTGAAAACGTTGCCGGAATTCTGAAATTTAACGAAAACGTTGTTTCATAACAGTTAATAGATGAGGAATGTTTTTTCCGTTGCTGATAAGAGTTATTTCCCAACGTTTACTTTTTACCTTGCTCGATAACGGTTATTGCCCAACGTTTATTTTTTACGTTGCTTGATAACAGTTATTGTCCGACGTTTATTTTTACGTTATCTGATAATAGTTATTTCAATCTCTCACTTTTATTTCACCATCTTTATCTTATACTCCATCTCCATCTTCATCAATATCCTAATCTTACAACGTTTATCAGACAACGTAAAAAATAAACGTTATAAAATAACTCTTATCCAGCAACGTAAAAAAATAAACGTTGGGAAATAATTCTTATCGACGCAATAAAAAATATTTCTCATTTAATAACTGTTATGGAGCAACGTTTTTGCTATAAAACTTATAACTTTTATGTCCCTGCTTAAAATAGTGGCACTATATCGCGAAAAACCATAAGATCAGGTCATCTGGTTTCTTACCCAGCGTTTCCTTGCAGAAATACAGAGCACCATAGTCCTTGTTTACTTGGTGCTCTGTGTTCATTTTCCGGTTTAATTTCGGTGTGAGCATGACTCCCAAATACTTAGCCTATGGGCAAGGAGTGTGCGCTTTTAAGGAACGTAAGCTAAAATTAGGAAACTTTTTCCTTTGTAGTGAATAATCGCATTTCGGCCTTCGAGGGATTAACCCAATTCTCCTAGTGCTCTTTAAAGCATTCCGCTTATCACATTTATGCACAATCTGGATACCACAGTCATTATATTGTCTGCTTACGCGACAACTTTGATCCCTTCCCTGTTGAGTCTTAGTTGAATGTTGTTTAGTACGCAAAGCCACAGCAGCGATGACAGTACCTCGCCTTGCGGAGTCCCCCATTTTGCATGTCTGATGTTTTCGCTGTTGCCTAGCTTAGCATTTCCAATCCTTGTACGAAGCATGGTGGAAATCCAGTGACGTCTCTATAGCCTCTAAGATAACGTTGTTGGACGCTCCTTCTATGTCCAGGAAGGCCGCCAACATATATTGTTTATTTTCCAGCGAAGACTCTAGCTTGTGTACAACCTTATGGTGCGCAGATTCTGTAGAGCGCCCTTTTAGGCTGCAGTAGATAGTTCTACGTGTCCTAATTTTGAACGAATATGCTTGCCTAGTAGCCGCTCGAATATTTTCAATACAAAAGACGAGAGATTAGTAGGTCTGAAGTTCTAGGGCACCGTATGCCCATCTCTTGCCTACATTGGGAGTGAAACCTACTTTAACACTTTTCCAAGTATACAGAACATAGTCNCTTGTGTACAACCTTATGGTGCGCAGATTCTGTAGAGCGCCCTTTTAGGCCGCAGTAGATAGTTCTACGTGTCCTAATTTTGAACGAATGTGCTTGCCTAGTAGCCGCTCGAATATTTTCAATACAAAATACGAGAGATTAGTAGGTCTGAAGTTCTAGGGCACCGTATGCCATCTCTTGCCTACATTGGGAGTGAAACCTACTTTAACACTTTTCCAAGTATACAGAACATAGTTGAGCATTATACATGCTTTGAAATTTCGACTTAGTTCCTTTTTAGTGGATAAATTAGCCTTACAATAACAGGAATTAGGTTAACATTGCAGACTACGAAATTTTCGATTTTCGCCCACTGCGTCAGCGGCTTTGCTAACCTTATCTAACCTTTTACTTTCNTTTTTTTTTTATTCAATTATTCATTTTCTTGATTTCGCCCATCCCTGAATCATACACACATAAATACATTTTTTCTGTGTCTCGTATAAACNTTAGGTTAACATTGCAGACTACGAAATTTTCGATTTTCGCCCACTGCGTCAGCGGCTTTGCTAACCTTATCTAACCTTTTACTTTCGTGCAGTGGCATATACAATTTCGTAAGTAACTGTATGTTTGCAATCATATACACATAAATACATTTTTTCTGTGTCTCGTATAAATAAACAAATACACAAGTGTCAAGTGAATTTGATATTTCTTATAGTATTTTGAAATATTTTTGCATTTGCTATAACTGCAGAGTTTTCAGAAGCAGTGGAAGGCCATTTCGCAAATAGATTAAAGTGAGGCGGCAAGTGGGGGACTAAAATGTGTTTAGCGACGCAGAGTCAAGTATGATTTTCATCTTAGCTTGATT